CTTGTCCATTTGTGATGAGTTATATGCCACGTAGAGCTTTGTGATGCATCATTTGTATGCAACGAAATTTACGTGTCTACACGAACGTCTTGGTATAGATTTCGACACTAGGAGCATGACAGAACCTCTACACTGAGCAATCCTATAAGCAATCGTACTAGCTATTTTTGACATGGTAGGAGTCACAGGCTCAGATCTAACGGCCTCATTTTTCTTCCTATTGGAAGAAGTCAAGTCAATCACAGGCCCTTCAGCAGCAGGCAGATCTTCACAAGCAGTGGAGAAAATCTTCAATTTTTTCTCAACTGGCATCTCTTAAGCAAGCAAGGAAGTTGTCTTCTTTCCACATTCATTCACAGCATGCTCCATGACAGTGATCGAACGAGCCAATGCATCCGCCTTGATCCTCTTCATTTTCTCTCTCGGAAGCAGCCCATCTTTCTCCTAGAAAATATAACTAAGTAGCCAATGCCATTCACGGTACTCGGCAGGAGAGCTTAACCCATGATGGCTTTTCCCTCATTTTTTTCTCTCAGACCAGCAGGTAGGAGGCTTGTATGCCCAGCATTCCCATAACCCATGAGGCCCGCGACCTCCTTATTTCTCTTAATTGCCGGCCTGGCTAGCATCAGGTCCAAGAACCCAAAGGACATGAGTTATGTGGCTCGTCTAACACTACGCCCCAGTGCCTCAATCCGCGGCCCCAGCCTAACAACTGCGCCTGGCTTTAGCCAAGCTAAGCAGCTCAAGTAGTGGTCCCTGCCACAACACGTCCTCGGCCCATGCCTAGCTGACGTGCCGCACCACCCCGACAACTGTCTCACTACAACACTGTCTAAGAAGAAGATAAGGAAAATCAAATTTTCTTACCTTGCTGCGGCACGAAGAAGACAAAAAAAGCAACGAAAGACGGTCCTGTGCACGGGCAAGTGTAGAAGATTGCTAGAAGATGGGGAACAAATATCCTCTAACTTTCTCTCTCTTGCAGGGTAGAATAAATTGCTCTCTGAAGTTGATTTAATAATCTACTTAAGGTAGACATAAATAGACTTTACAAGTAATGTATTTTCCTTTCCTAGAAGGACCTAATTTTCAATTAAAGAGGGAATCTACGCCAAAATAGGAAACAATCCTATGTTTCCTAAAAAAAAGATCTATACACCTGCTGCCCTTTCTTATGAGCAACCTAATAGGTGTGGGGGCATTTGTGGAGCAAAAAATAATCAAGAAAAATAAAAAGGTGACACGTGGACTTCTGGGTGAAAAAGATAAAATTACCCTTAAGGCACACTGGGATTCCCATGTGCACATAAGATACGATAACGGCTTAATCGAGGTCAAAGGTGATCAAAATGGTATTCTTTTCAAATTGGGATTAATTGCCAAACTAATTGATTAATTACGAAAATAATTACAAGATTTTATTTGACATAATATCTTGTAATTAGGGCCAAATTTCTACCATAAGTGGCCGCCCCCTATTTCTCCAAATAAGGCCGGCCATACCCTATATATAGCCCCTCATTTCTTCAAAAACATAAATTCATTATTCTTCTAAAATTCTCCAAACACTTTCTCTCTCAAATTCTAACTTTGGCATCAGAGACTCTTCGGCCAAAGCACCCCCCCATTCATCGTGGGTGCGTGAGGCTCTTGACCTTGATCTTAGGTGTTAATTGTTTTGCAGGTACATTTTCCTCCAAGAAGAAGGAGGAAATTTGCATCCACAATATGAATCTAGAAATGCACATCTCAACTTAGCCAATTCCAAAAACACACTGACCGTGTAAAACATATCAATGTTTTATTCCAAACAAAAGTATTCCTACGGCAGAAAATATGACTCCACTGTGTAACATTTAGAGCAGTGGGTGTAAAATCCTTTGCTTTTCCTTTTTCTTGTCCTGAAATTCAATTACCAGTTTTGCATCTTCGATTGCTCTGTAAAAAAATTAGAGAGAATAGGAGTTTGTCATCTTCGATTGCGTAGGTTAGCAAATCATGAAACTTGTCTGGCAGTAAAGTAAATGCGAATAGAATTCCCCATACACCAAAAAAAGGAAGAAAATTTTATGCGTTCCATAATCTTTATAATTCCATCCAATTCAAATTTATATGAGATTGGAAGCTCCCGTAATTTTTTTTACACCAAAATTAAATAAAGGATAAACTGCCAATCTCCCCTTGAACTTTTACTCAACTTTCAATTTACCTTTGAACTTTTAAATTGGAAAATCAAAGACTTAAACTAATTTTTTTGAGCAATTTTCCCCTGCCGTTAGTTTTTAATCCATTCCATCCAAATTTCTATTAAATGAAAACATGTTCACAACATAGGAGGGTAGTTCTGTCACTTCATTTTTTTTTAAATAATTGAAAATACTAAATTTCTAAAATGTTGACAAGTGCAAATCTATGTAATTCTATAGTTTTTGTGTCTAGAGGTATAGTGAAGTGACATTTTTGTTCTCAAGGGAGAGTCATGTGGTGTGCACGTGATAAGAGTTAACGTTAATTTGGATGAAATCTATGGAAAACTTAGTTTAAGTCATTGATTTTCCAATTTCAAAAATTAATGGGTAAATCAAAAATTAGGTGAACAAGGGGAATTGGTAGTTTACTCATGAAAAATAAATTCCTTGCGATTTTCAGTTCCTACTATTTCTCACAACGGCAGCGTTCATCTATATCCGGAATGATACAATACCAAAGCACCTTTGGATTGGTACATTATGCATAGCAAAAAATTATAGAGAATAACAGAAAATAAGACTTAGAATTCGAACAGAGTAAGGATAATTAGAGAGAATAAGACTTGGAATTCGAACAAAGTGAGGAAAATTTACTATGCACAGACTTCACGAACCATAGAACTCTTGCTGATTTGGCACCAGATTTCTCCCACCAGCAAAAAAAAAAAGCCAAACTTTAAATCCAAAAAAAAAAAAAATTATGTTTGGTTGCAGATGAACCTCGCATGTCATAGTGCAGTGGTGGGTTCGTCAGATTGTGAGTCATGAGGTGATGAAGGCGGATGTGGGTGCGGATTGGATCCGGAGTGGCTGGTTGCTAGTGGCACGGGTCAGGACTGATGTGAGAAGGGCAGTGGTGCAATGACACAATTGTAATTTAATTGAAATCGAGGCCCTTTTTCATTACCAACATGTGCAATTTTTTTTTTCTACTTGACACTAAAGTAACATGGAGAAATTAGATTTCAATCCCTAGTCACGAATTTTCTATCACAGAAAATTTGTTGAATTTCAGTTTTTAATCAAAGTCTAGTAAATTTTTTACACATCAGCATTTTATTATTCACATATTATTACATGTTAGATTTTTATTTTATTTAAAAAAAATTATAAATTCTTTCTCAGATCATTCATTATCACGGTTAAAAGAATCGGAGATGATTCTAAATGAAACTTCGAGGTTCCTGTCACCAAATTCAAGCTATTCCATTTTTTACTTTTACCTTTGCATTCAAATTCATCAATATTATTGAGGATATGTATCATCAATTTCAAATTTCTTCGTACTTAAGCCATGTTTAGCATTTTCTGTATACGACACTTCAATTTTGTTGACGTTTCTACGTAACCATCTTTAGATGTCACTCTATTTTAGCTATACTTTTCCCAAAATTCAATGCTCTGTTCTTTTTTTCAATTACCTAACAGGAAAGGCATTAGTTCTTTTCAATGTGGTTGTCTTCATCTAGGGCAAATTCACTAAAATTATGAGGTATGGTCTTTTCATGGTGGTTTGAGATTTTTTTTGGTTTGGGATTGAGATTTTTTTTGGTTTTGTTCTGAATTTTTGGGAATTTTTTCTAGCCCTACACTTAGTAAGGGAAATAAACATTATCCCTGATAAAACAAGAAAAACAAAATAAAATAAAACACAGGAAATGAAGGGGGACATAAACCTTATGCTTCTTACAAAGGAAAATACAAGGAAAAAAAAACAAGGGACATAGACCTAAAGCAAAAGGTATCTTCAGTATGAAAACAAAACCGATAAAAAAGTACAATTTAGTCTCCTCTAAGTCTTCTTTTCATCATGGTCATACTCACTGAAATCATGAAATAGAGCATATCTTGTACATTGTCAAAGAATTTAAAATATGCATATCTCTGTCTTCTTAACAATTAAAGAACCACACACTCCCCCAAAACCCTAGGATGGAAATCATGCTCATTGTCAACTGGTATTTCTCAGATCATTCATTATCACGATCAAAAGAATTGGAGATGATTCTAACTGAAACTTCGGGGTTTCTGTCACCCAATTCAAGCTATTCCATTTTTGACTTTTACCTTTGCATTCAAATTCATCAATATTATCGAGGATATGTATCATCAATTTCAAATTTCTTCATACTTAAGCCATGTTTAGCATTTTCTGTATACGACACTTCAATTTTGTGGACGTTTCTACGTAACCATCATTAGACGTCACTCTATTTTAGCTATACTTTTCCCAAAATTCAATGCTCTGTTCTTTTTTTCAATTACCTAACAAGAAAGGCATTAGTTTTTTTGAATGTGGTTGTCTTCATCTAGGGCAAATTCACTAAAATTATGAGGTCTAGTCCTTTCATGGTGGTTTGAAATTTGTTGGTTTGTGATTGAGATTTTTTTGGTTTGGGATTGAGATTTTTTTAGTTTTGTTTGGAATTTTTTCTAGCCCTACACTTAGTAAGGGAAATAAACATTACCCCTCATAAAACAAGAAAAACAAAACAAAATAAACTATAGGAAATGAAGGGGGACATAAACCATACGCTTCTTACAAAGGAAAATACAAGAAAAAAAAAAGAAAGGGACATAGACCTAAAGCAAAAGGTATCTTCGGTATGAAAACAAAACCGATAAAAAAGTACAATTTAGTCTCCTCTAAGCCTTCTTTTCATCATGGTCATGCGCACTGAAATCATGAAATAGAGCCTATCTTGTACATTGTCAAATAATTTAAAATATGCATATCTCCATTTCTTCTTAACAATTAAAGAACCACACACTCCCGCAAAACCCTAGGATGAAACCTAGTGCAATGAATATATACAACCATGGAAAATCATGCTCATTGTCCACACCTTGGTTGTTCTTGCTATCTGCATCAATGCCCTTAATTGGTAGACACTCATTGTGAAGTGGAGAGCCACACAATTCTGAATTCCCCTCAAACGCAGAAGCATTGAAACTTTGAAGCTGAGTGCTTGTTGGGATTGGTCCTTCGAGATCATTGTACGAGACATTTAAATATTTTAAGAAATTAAGACTTGCCAATGACAACGGGATGTTTCCAGACAAATGATTCATAGAGAGGCTCAAATTCTCTAGATTTTTGAGGTTGGATATTTGTTCTGGAATGTTGCCGGAAAAGTAGTTGCCAGCAAAATCCAAGTTGTGGAGAAGGTGCATTTGGCCGATCTCAGTAGGTATTCTACCATGAATGTGATTGAAAGATACGGATATTGTTGGTGGCCAGTTAGACAATCTTTGCGGGTAAGTTAGACCCGCATCCGTGTAGATAGGCAGGTCAATATAATCGTCTACTTGATCTGTGGTTGGTTCATGTACCAACCTTGGTAGTCCACAAAGTTCTTTTGGAAATTCACCAGAAAGTTGGTTGTCTACCAAGAACAAGAAGAAGAGTTTGGGAAGGGTCGCCAACGATCTAGGAATTGGCCCTGTAAGTCTACAACCTTCCAGAACCAAGATCTTTAAATTCTTGAGTTTTGATAACCATAAGGGCATTTGACTAATGAGCTCACAGTAATAAAAGGTGAACGATTGAAGATTTTGGAACCCACCGAAATCAACCATACCTTCATCAACTGGCATTTCCTCACCTTTGAATGAATATGCAATGATGAGTACTTGAAGACTTTTACAATGCATTAATATCTTCATCGCCCCAGTGATGTTGGTTAAGCCACCAAGTGAAAGAAAGGTCAAAGATTTCAATGAAAGAATTTCAGGTTGGATTTGTCCCTTTGTATTATTATTTGCAGTCAACCGAATAGCTTTTAGGGACTGGCATGAATAAAGGCTTGTTGGAAATGTACCAGTAAAGTCGTTTCGAACTAGGTCAAGTTTACTGAGCTGACTAAGTTTCGAGAAATTGACCATGGAGATATCTCCTTCCAAGTTGTTGGCAGCCATATGTATTTCTACAAGGTTCGTGCAATTCATCAACGATGGGGGCAAATAACCTTCGAAATGGTTAAAACCAAGAGCCAAGAGTTTCAATTTGGAGAGCTGTCCAAAATGGAGAGGGAGCACACCACTCATTTGGTTAAAGGAGAGGTCAAGGATTGCGAGGTTAGTGAGGTTGAAAATTTTCTCACTTATGGCTCCATGGAGTGAATTGGAAGGGAATGCAATTTCTTCTAGTTTGGTGGCATTGTAGATATCCTTCGGAAGTAACCCTGAGAGGTCATTGTAACCAGCACGAAAAATTTGCAGTTTTGAACACTCCCCGAGTCCAGGAGAAATGTTGCCATTGAATGCATTAAAGGAAAAATCCAACAACCTAATCAAGGGAGACGAATGAGAACATATAGAGGATGGGAACGAACCTGAGAAGGTATTGTTGTTGATGTTGAAACTAGTTAAATTACGAGCATGTTGAAAGAATAAGCTGAAATTGCACCATGGAAGCGATTGCTTGACAAATCCAACTTTTGGATATTGTGGGATGGCATAGAAAATGGTAGTTTTCCAGAAAGAAGATTAAAGCTCAAATTTAGGATCTCAAGACGAGTGAAAGGCAAAAAGAATTCAGTTTCAAGTGATCCAGAAAGTGAATTGTGAGAGAGATTTAATTGGATGAGGTGTGTGAGATTTCCAAGTGACAATGATGAGGGGAAAATAGCTCCTTTGAGACCTTTGGAGGATAAGAGCAAATGGGTGACCAAACCATCCTGATTACAAATGATGCCCTTCCATTGACAACAGTTAACTGAAGTCCAATTTAAAGGACAAGAAGATATGGTGGAGGCGAATGACAGAAGAGAGGCGTGCTCAATTTGGTTGCATGCATGAACACTTGTAGAGATGATGTGAGAGAATAAAAGTATGAGAAGCAAGCCATGAGCCATTGGGTTAGAAATTAAGCTGCTCTAGCATATATATGTTTCTTTATATTCAGAATTCTCAAAGTTTGGGTATATATAGAGCAACTAATTGCATACTTAATCCAAAGTTCGCTTCTATCTTCTTCCTTTCAGCTTGAAAATGAATCATTAAAGCTCGAACAGGTTAAATTTTTACATATTGATTCCTTTTTCTTTTCAATTAAATGAGCTTCTAGTTAGAGTGTTTAATGAGTTTGGTATGTTTCAATTAAATGAGAATCTTCTAGCCTCTATATTCCTATCTGTGGTAGAAAAATGGGTACGTCCATGATAAATTTTGATAGATCAAGGAATATTTTTAACCGTGGATATTATTAGATACAAAAGTTGCGGACAACAATTCACATTACATTGAACTATGGCTAAAAAGTATATTGCCTTTGCACGTTTTATAGGCAAACTCATAATAGCTAAGCAGTTTTTATTGTGGAGCAAAACTTTGGGAATTGATCTAACTTGGATATGTAATTGAGTTTATGCATTTTAATGATTAAACTAATAAGTATTTCGACCACATGGATTTAATATTGTAGTATATCGCCTTTGCACGTTTTATAGGTGAACTTATAGGTAAGCAGTTTTTATTGTTGACCAAAACTTCGGGAATTTATCTAACTTGAATGTATAATTGAGCTTATGCATTTTAATTATTAAATTCATAAATATGTCGACCGCATATGAAGTTAATATCATAATTTCTTTTAGCCTCTATATTGGTATCTGTGGCAAAAAAATGGGTACTTCCATGAGAAAATTTTGTAGATGGATGAATATTTTCAATCTGGATATTTATTAGATACCATAAATTATAAGTATATTCGCGAAAGTTTGAATCAAGCTGAATAGTACTAATTAGTAATACAACTTGTGCATGATATTTGCTTATAACCAAGTCATGCATGAAACATACACATTTGTCCCTTCATGCCACTTGGTTATAAGCAAACATCATGCACAAGTTGTTTACTAATTAGTACCATTCAACTTGGATCATGACCGTTTTCTTTCTGTTATTCATACGCCCAAGACATTGTAAGAAATCACGTTGATTATTCAAAACGAATCAACAATTAGTTGCACAGGGTCACACTCAGTGATACTCCCAACTTTATAAAGAAAGAAGAAAAAAAAAGGAAGTCAACTTCCAAACTAGAATAAAATGTATATAAATATAGAAAATTGTTATTAGCACTCCAAAAATCTCATTTGGCACTCCAAACTTTTTATAATTAGAAAGAAAAATATCTCGACCGCTTATGAATTTATATATCGTAATATCTTTTAGCCTCTATTGGTATCTGTGGCAAAAAATGTGTACCTCCAGGAGAACATTTTGTAGATTGATGAATATTTTCAATTTGGGTATTTATTAGATACCAGAAATTATACGTCTATTCGCGAAAGTCTGAATCAAGCTGAATAGTACTAATTAGTAATACAACTTGTGCATGATATTTACTTATAACCAAGTGATGTTTGCTTATAACCAAGTGGCATGAAGGAACAAATGTGTATGCTTCATGCATGACTTGGAATAGTATTAGTCGTTGCAAGATTTTACATCACTTTGTTTTTATTTTTAATATGTATATTAAGTCTTATTTGTATGGGAGTGCATTTTTGCTTACCATTCTTAAATTGTAATAATGCTCACCACATTATTTATCACTTTTAGTTGAGTTTAATTAAATTTTGAGATTGTATCTATACATCATAGATCTCAAAATTTAAACTCATCTAATATTAATAAATAGAGTTGTAAGTATCAACGTCACTTGACTTAACTCTACCCGAAAGTACGTTGAAGTCTTTGTGAAAAAAGAAAAACGGAACGTACGTAAGGGCCAATGCAAGTTGATTGGCATGTGTGACTTTGCAAGCATGGTGACCTCTTTCTATTAAGATGAAAACTTCTAGCCTTTATATTCCTATCTGTGGTAGAAAAATGGGTACGTCCATGCTAACTTTTGGTAGACGAATGAATATTTTTTACCGTGGATATTTATTAGATACAAAAGTTGTGGACAACAATTCACATTACATTGAACCGTGGCTAAAAAGTATATCGCCTTTGCACGTTTTATAGGCAAACTCATAGCTAAGCAGTTCTTATTATGGTGCAAAACTTCGGGAATTGATCTAACTTGGATGTGTAATTGAGTTTATGCATTTTAATGATTAAATTGATAAATATTTCGACCACATATGGATTTAATATCGTAGTATCTTTTAGCCTCTATATGCCACAAAAGTTGCGGACAAAAGTTCACAATACAATGATACATAGAACTGTGGATAAAAAGTATATTGCCCTTGCACATTTTATAGGTGAACTCATAGGTAAGCAATTTTTATTGTTAACCAAAATTTCGGGAATTGATCTAACTTGAATGTGTAATTGAGCTTATGCATTTTAATGATTAAATTCATAAATATGTCAACCGCATATGAATTTAATATCATAATGTCTTTTAGCCTCTATATTGGTGTCTGTGGCAAAAAAATGGGTACCTCCATGAGAAAATTTTGTAGATCGATGAATATTTTCAATCTAGATATTTATTAGATACCATAAATTATAAGTCTATTCGCGAAAGTTTGAATCAAGCTGAATAGTACTAATTAGTAATACAACTTGTGCATGATATTTGCTTATAATCAAGTCATGCATGAAACATACACATTTATCCCTTCATGCCACTTGGTTATAAGCAAACATCATGCACAAGTTGTTTACTAATTAGTACCATTCAACTTGGATCATGACCGTTTTCTTTCTGTTATTGAAACGCCCAAGATATTGTAAGAAATCATGTTGATTATTCAAAACGAATCAACAACTAGTTGCACAGGGTTACACTCAATGATACTCTCAACTTGATAAAGAAAGAAAGAAAAAAAAAAAAAAGGAAGTCGACTTCCAAACTAAAATAAAATGTATATAAATATAGAAAATTGTTATTAGCACTCCAAAAATCTTATTTGGTACTCCAAACTTTCTACAATTAGAAAAAATACACTTGTGCGGAGTGTAGAATTAAGATATTTGGAGTGCTAATAACAGTTCCCCAAATATATCTTAATAAATATTGTACGTCGCATTGACTTAGACTTTCGCAAATAGACTTATAATTTCTGGTATCTAGTAAATATCCAGATTGAAAATATTCATTGATCTACAAAATTTTCTCATGAAGGTACCATTTTTTTGCCACAGATACCAATATAGAGGCCTAAAAGACACTACAATATTAAATTCATATGCGATCAAGATATTTATGAATTTAATCATTAAAATGCATAAGCTCAATTATACATTCAAGTTAGATCAATTCCCGAAGTTTTGTGTATTTTAAGCATCCACAAATCTCACATCTTCCAAGAGATTTCGAGGGAATTGAATTAAAATTTTATATGGAATCTCTATAAATCAATTAAATTCCATAAAAATCCATGGATTTATAAATCCATTAAAATATCTCAAATTCTCAAATGAATACAACCCCTAAAACTTCCAAGAAACAGCCGGCAACCAGTCCACACCAACGCCGCTCAACCACGGGCCTTCGCCTCCTCCACGAGCCATCGCCCTCCACAACGCCGTCATCCACTAGTCGCCGGCGGAAGTGGCCACCGCCGGGCACCGCCTATTTTGAGGTAAACTCCCAATTTTTCAGATTTAAATCTCTAATTGATCATTTAATATAAAACATTGTTCCGTCTATTGTTTCTAACATAAATTTTACACATTTTATAGGTGGGTGTATACAGAAGCCCACTTGTAGCCTTTTCTCAAGTGGCCCATTCAGTGCTGGGCTCGCAAATTTTTCGCATCTCCAACGCAGCGTATCGCTTCTTCTTTTTCTTCTTCCAATTCACCACGCTCACTGCTGCAGCTGCTGGACCTCTCAAGGCGTCAGCTCTTGCCCCACTGGTTCAAGGTAAACACTATCCCCCCCTCTCTCTCCCTCACTCTCTCTAGGGTTTCTTCTGCAATTCTTACTTCGATTTCTCAAATTTTATATCATGATTCCTGAATTAATTGTTTTTTTTTTTTTTTTTTTTTTGTATTTGTGTGTGTATATATATACATATATATGCATATTATAGACGTATGCTATGGAGTCAAAAGAAGAAGAAGATATGTATTGCTCGATCTCGATTCCGTTTCCTCGCAGTTTGAAATTCCACCAAACGCACCCTATTCTTTTTCCGTACGTTTTTTCTAATCTAAGTATCTCGTTGTTTTGTAACATTTTGCCCCGAAATTTTCAGCGTTCAAAACTCTCTTTTATGTGATGCCATTTTTAAAATCGAAATGTGTTGATTTGCAGGGTCTAAACACGGAGCATCCAGTATTGACTATAGGCGACAAACTCAAGTTGGTGAGTTTTAAGTTTTTAACAGCCTGAAGAAACGAAATTCTGTATCAAATTCGATCGTGTGGTTCTGTAATCTGTGATTCTGTGCCTATTCTTAACTTTTAAACTGTGTAGATTTGAATCGTTTGTAAAACCGATATCATGTTTCTATGCAGTCAATGCCACATTTTCCCTTTTTCTTTTACCTGTAGCCGTTTTCGGACTTGGTAGGAGTGTTTAGGCTATGAAATTAGTTCATGTTGTTTTATGCAGCATATGAATTTGGTCATAAGTTATACCGGTTTATTTAACATTGCACGTCTTCCGTGTCAATGAAATGTTTTAACTCCAATCTTTGCACTGTTTACCGTAGTGAGGGTTTGGTGCTATCCTGGAACGGTTTGTGTGTTTTGTAGAAGAATTTGACTAAATTAATTTCCCTGAGAGTGGTTTTAGGCTTTTAGTTGATATCTAGTTAGCAGAGTCTTATATGTAGACAATGTATGCGTGTAAAAACTACCATGGAGACTCTTAAATTGGAATGTGTTTGCTTTGCCCCTTTTTCCATTTTGTTTTACCTTTCGTGTCCTTCGGACTTGTTTGCAGCATCAAGCCTATGAAATTCTCATGTTGTTTTACGCAGCATATGAAACGCCTTCAAATTGGCCTCACTCTTTAAAACATTGGCATTGAATGCTTTAGTGGAAATTGAATGTTTTAAGCCCAATCTTCCTACTTTTTATCTTGCTAAGGGTTTGGTTGCTGTTCTGGCACTTTGTATTGTTTACAACTAGTAATACTTCGCAGTTGTTTTTTTATTATTCAGTACCTGCTGTAATTCCCACTTTGATTTTCTCTTTTGAGCCTTGTGTGCTGTTTCATTCATTTTTATTAGTAATTGGTATGTTATACTTGGAGGAACTAGGGCAAGTTCTGCATCACTAGAAAGGCTTGGAGGTTGAAGTTGTGGGCTGACATGATTTCTTTTCACTAATTCTTGTTTTCCTACAGATAGGAGAATATCAAGAAACGATTGGAACATGCCTTATATTCAAAGAAGAAGGTAAATTACATTTCTCTCTCACACTCAGAATACACCCGTAAGAAACTATGTCTGGAAAACTGCCTTTTAAACATTTACTGTACCGTATATTTTCGGATCAAGATGTTTGGATTCCTCTTTAAATAGGGTCCTCTCGTTCTGCAAGTAAATTGAGGGCTTCCTCATTCTTTGTTCCTTCTCTACTTTGTTACGATTTTATTCTTCTCCAACTGAGCTAAGGAGTTCAAAGTTCTGTTCCAATTCAAGGATCTACTTTCATTTGAGGCTGTGTAATGTGAGAATATTGGTTAAAGTTCATTGGCATCAAGAGGTGCACATCATAGGCAATGAATTTCGCCTTTTGAGTTGTGACTGCTTCCATTGCAGGTGTTTTAGTAGAGAAATTATATTCACACACCTCAACTTACTTCTCCCACACCATTTTAATTTTTTAATATTTTATATACATCAATAACACTTGATAGAAAAATATTAAAAAATTAAAAAAGTGTGGGGAAAGTAATTTGGGGTGTGTGATTATAATCTTCCTTTTAGTATTCAGTGTTGACTTGCATGGTTCTTAAACCGGTACATGCTTTGATAAGAGTGTGAGGGACTAGAATAGATCTTGAAAGGTGATCTTGATTTTTGATATAGATTATAGAAAACTTAGGTTATACCACTTCCCTTCGCCTATGGAAGGTTGGGCTTCGACGCTAGTACAGCACTACCCAACTTGAAGCACCTCGCTATGACTTTTAGTCAGGTTGAATACGAATATGGGGCAAATCCTGACCTAGATGAACTCGCACCAAGATCCAGATTCTATTTAGGTTTCTATAGATATACCATTGGAAACCGTTACTAATCTGGAATCTGTTACTGGATAACAACACCACCCCCCCCCCCCCCCCAACCCTTTCTCCCCAAGACCCTTCGCCTCACTATGTATTTTCATGGGGCACAGAATTTTTCTTCAAATGAAAAGAATGGTCTTATTGTTGCGGAAGGTGGTTATGAGCATGACGGCCAAAGCTAGTCGTAACCCTTCTTTTATGTTTCTCAATCAATCAATCAGGTAAAAAAGAACCCGCCTATCAACTTGTATTGTTTCATTTATTTACTTTTTGTATCTGCCTGCATCAATAACACCTTATCTTGTACTAAAGCAAGCCCTATTGCAGATGTTAGCCCTGCGGTTCATGAAGAAATGGGTCCATCAGAAGCAAACCTTTTTGCAGGCAAATGCATAATGGATCCAAATCAATCTCCAAGCAAGCAAGTAAAACCAGTTACGAGCCTTCAAAGGATTTTAAAATTTAGACTGGCACCCAATCTCGAGTCTCATGATCCACCTGAACAGTCTCGGTAAGCAAAGTTTACGAGTTTTTTGTTAGAAGACCACTGAATTACAAATCTGATTTCTGAATTCCTTAGTCGACGCCTAAAGTGTATACTTCTATATATTTCTTCACCCTTCTCTTCTTTATCATAAGATTTACCTCTCGTTAATGAACAATAAGCATCTATATTTTATTATTAGCATATTCCCTGGTTTTTTTTTTTTTTAAATGCCAGGGATCCGGTGCTACATACAGTGCAATCAGTGGCCGAATGACCAAGATTGGAACCCTTAGTCGACACTAGCTTATTCCCTCGTTATAGAAGGATTACTTGCATGCTAAGCTAATAGCCGAATGCTGTTGTAGAGCCCTTTCAGATTGTTTTTCGGTTGGACGCTTTCTTTTCCTTTTGACTTGGCTGGCACCAATAGCTCCAGAGAAAATTAGAAAGAGAATAACTTATTCGTTAAGGCTTCACATTTGTTTGCCTTCAAACTATAAAATTGTATCTTGCTTTTGTATACGGTTTCCCATGACGCGCCCACCACTACCTTGGTGGAGTTGACACGAATGTAATACGGGACATGTTAATATGTATTTGAAAGTGATTTCCACACCCACTTTTGAAGGTGATATAATTCATATGTCGTTACCTTGTTGTGACCTAAATTTAATTGAAGGAGAGCGAGGGAAGGTGTGGCGGCAGAGAGAAGAAAATGAGGTGTGGTTCGAGTCCCTGCAGGTGACGAGCATGCCGTGGCACTTGATTCCAATGGATTTTTTAGTCTCCAAACGAAGGATACTTTCGATGTTTTATTGTTTATGCTGAGCATGCATTTGAATTCTAACAAAAAATGTTGTAACTTTCTGTATGGAAATTGCTGGTATATACTCGGGGTAAAGGGTAGTGTGGTGCATTAGGCCACGGGAATGAGATTGACAAGACCACCCCATAACTCTTGACCAAGCTCAAAAGCCACCCCGCTGTGCAGGTTTGGTGTTTTTCGTTCATTTTATCATTTCTTATAAATTATGTTAGCGTCGGGATTACGCTAGCATCAACTGAACAACATTTACAAAACTGCTGATATGTTGAGTTGAGTCACAATGAATAAGTGAAATATTGTCAGTGCAAGGCTAATGCTAACATAATTTTTATGTCTTAGACTGCAAGGATCTGCGGTCGGCAGCGATGATGGATGTAACATAATTCTTAGTCCATTTGTAGCCTTGTCGGTAACATGAAAAAATCACAAGAATCATACCTGTGGGGGTGACAATATTTGTTTGAATGGACTTTCTAAGCATAGTCACATCTTTTGGATTTTTGTTTTAAAATCGAAAGGACGCAAATTTAGTTAGCAGTCCATGTCAACATTTATTATATAGTGGTTCTATATACAAACCTTGTGGATAGCATCCACCCTTGTGGTACTATAAGATACTACCTACTTTGTACTTGCCAACTTTCATCAAACTCTACTGAAATGTAATATTCAAAGAAGTATTTACATGGAACAGTTCATCGATACATGATATCTCGTGATAATGAACTAGTTCTATGTAAGTTACTCTTGTAATATTTATGATCTTTTATGTTGGTGTTTTAATATCAATTACCTTCTGAATTGGGACGTTGGAAGCAGAGTGAAATGAAAGCCCATCATTCAAATGATGTGCCTTCACTATGATGTTTGCTACCCTTGCTACAAAATCAGTATAATGTTGTAAATAGGTTAAGGAGTAGTTGGAAGTTTGCAAGAGGAAGAAATAATTGGAGCCTTGGTTTTGAACTTTAGCTTAATTGGAGTTTTGATATTTGAACCAAAAAATCCTAAGAACTGATTCTTAAGTTTATCACAAACGTAATGCGGTTACCTTTTAATTTGAATAAAACTTTTAATGAATTTACCTAAAATAATCATTGCTTCATGTTGTGATAAGTTAAAGCACCACATATTTTTAGTTTAGGTACAAAGATCAAATTTGGCCAAAATTTAGGGACTATGCTCCAATTTTATCAAAAGAGGCCAACAAGCTATGTTTCCTTCGTTTCGATCACAAAAGTGCAACTTATGCTATGCTTCTACTGCCCATGAGAAGGACTTGCATGCAACAAGAGCGTCAAAGTGGTTGTGTTCTAACTAATTATGCAATGCTATGTAAACAAATTGAAATCTATGACTACAAGTGACAAGTTTGAAATACGACCAACTTGACGAGAGATTTTTTAGTGTGACTGGAACACGGGATGGTATAACACGTGTCACTATACAAATGATGTGATATGTGTGTTAAAAAGTTATTAACTTGAAAAATAAAATTTATTACCACTTATATAAAAGCAAGTGGTGTATTATCCGTGTGCTGATTACAATGAAAAATTTCTCGAACTTGACGCTCCAATTTTATTTAAGTCTCTCTACTAATACATGTGATGCTCATGTATCACTATTTCTTATCACGTGACGATTTGTTGACACATTTTTTCTCGCCTAGTGCACCCCTGAGCTTGAGAGAGGGGCTGTAAAGTAAAGAACATCTAATGGTCAAAAGTAATTCTCTTCTTGATGATGTCACTTTGTATTATCTACTCACTAATCACCCTTTCCCTTCTTTAATTGCTGTTAATTATGCGACTCCAAGAGGATCAGATCAGATTACCTTTCTTAAACATATTTTAACTTTATAAAAACAGAAGTGTGTTTGAACTTTGAACTGTGAATGACTTGGGATGCTCTTTTGTTTCCCAAATTCTACTCTCTTTTTTCAAATGGCCCATTCTGCAGCTCTTGATTTGTTCTTTTGCCTTTTTATTGTTTGTTTATTTCTGCTGATTGGAATGCACTTTACCTACTCTATATTGAATTTCAACGATCTGAATCGTTTATTTTGTAAGTCTTGATTTAAAGATTATTTTTGGAAAAGATAAATTCAAAACAAAATCATTTGCCTATTTAATTATCACAACAAAATTTCATTGTTTCTTATAAAATAAAGTGTCAGTCAATTTCTTTGAACTCAATTAGATGGCTCAGATATTTTCGATTTGACTAATATTTTGCATGAATAATCTATGAGGTGCAACTTAAAAAAAAGAACGGTTCGAATTATTAAAGTTCGATGTAATATGGACTCCCATAACTAATCTCTAATTTTTTAAAGCATAATGCTAGAGAGACTAAATTTGTAGACTAAATTAACAAACCAAATGAGGTGTCACCAATAGAAAATGAGCATGTTTATCAATGATTAAGTAATAATCCAATCACCAACTTCTATATCATTTAGTTTACAAAATTCAATCTACAAATTTAATCTCTTACTCTTTTTTAAATAGGAATCCCTTTTGTCAAAGGCCTCCATCCATCCATATACATCTACTTTTAACATGTCTTTAATTCTTCTGGAACCACACAACCACTTATTTGGAGTTGTTTCTAGAAAACGCTTATGTTCGTAGTCCAGCCCTTTTAACAAGAGTATTAATATTTTACTAAAATAATATTATGAAGATCAAAATTTTAAGATGAATATTAAAAAAAATGATGTGATTATAAATGATTGAATTAAATGTCAGTTAATGTGTTTATCTTTCATTAATGATACATTACTTGATTTGCAAATCTATTTTAAAATTTTAGTTTCTCTCAGCATTATTCCTTTAATAAAACTGCCAACGTGGAGTGCTCGTTGTAATTCAGTTAAACTTTTAATTATTTTGTAATCAAACGTTATTAAAATAATTTTAATAATTTAAAAACACTTTTAATTATTTCAAAAATATTTTCGTAGCAGTTCTCGAATGATTATTTTGAGCCACCATTCAAGCGTAAATAAATGGCAGAATATTTGACAACATGGAAAGATGTAAATTAACCTGGCTCGTCCTCGGCTGGATTGGCAGTGGATATTAGGGAAAGGCTGCCTACTGTACCAGCTACAAGCCATAGCAAAAGCCGTGGAGAAGCAGCCACTGACCAGTGGAAGTAGTACTTGTGTGGATATTATTGTAATTTGGAAAAAAAAATTGTACCTTGCTTCTGTATATGGTTTCCCATGATCCGTCCACCAGTACCTTCGGGGAGTTGACACGAATGTAATACGGGACATGTTAATGTGTGTTTGAAAGTGATTTCCTTCCCCGCTTTTAAAATTGATATAATTCATATGTCGTTATCTTGTTGTGACTTAAATTTAATTGAAGGAGAACGAGAGAGGGTGCGGCGGCAGAGAGAAGAAAATGAGGTGTGGTTCAAGTCCCTGCAGGCGACAAGCATGCCGTGGCACTTGATTCCAAGGGATTTTTTAGTCTCCAAACGAAATATACTTTCGATTTTATATTGTTTATGCTGAGCATGCATTTGAATTCTAACAAAAAATGTTGTAACTTTCTGTATGGAAATTGCTGGTACGTACTCTTGGTAAAGGCTAGTGTGGTGCATTAGGCCACGGGGATGAGATTGACAAGACCACCCCATAACTCTTGACCAAGCAAAGCCACCCCGCTGTGCAGGTTTGGTTTTTTTCTATTCATTTTATCATTTCTGATAAAATTACACTAGCGTTGGGATTGCGTTAGCATCAACTGAACAATGTTAACATAACTGTTGATATGTTTGAGTTGAGTTCATAATGAATAAGTAAAATATTGTCAGTATACGACTGATGCTAGCATATATTTTATGCCTTAGATTGAAAATATCTGCGGTTGGCAACGATGATGGATGTAACATAATTCTTATTCCATTTGTAGCCTTGTCGGTAACACAAAACAAATCACAAAAATGATACCTGCAGGAGTGACAATATTTGTTTGAATGGACTTTCTAAGTATGGTCACATCTTTTGGATTTTTGTTTTAAAATAGAAAGGGTGCAAATTTAGTTAGCAGTCCATGTCAACATTTATTATATAGTGGTTCTCTATACATACCTTTTTTTTTACTGTTTTACTTTTTACAAAGATCAAATTTGGTCAAAATTCAAAGACTATGCTCCAATTTATCAAGGAGGCGAACAAGCTATTTTTTTCCTTCTTTTTAAATTCCGACCACAAAATTGCAACTTATGCATGTTTCTATTGCCCATGAGAAGGACTTGCATACAATAAGAGTGTCAATGTGTTCGTGTTCTAACTAATTATGCAACATTATGTGACAACATTAAAATATGTGACTACAAGTGATAAGTTTGAAATATGACGAATTTGACGCCCCCATTTTTTTTTAGTCTCTCTACTAATACATGTGATATCCCTGTATCACTATTTCTAATCACGTGTCGATTTCTCAACACATTTTTTCTTGCCTAGTGCACCCCTGAGCTTGAGAGAGGGGTTGTAAAGTAAAGAATGGTCAAAAGTAATTCTCTTCTTGATGAAGACACTTTGTATTATCTAATCACTAATCACTAATCCCTAATCACCCTTTCCCTTCTTTAATAGACTATTAATTATGTGGCTCCAGGAGGATCAGATCAGATTACCTTTTTTAAACATGTTTTAACTTTATCAAAACAGAAGTGTGTTTAAAGTATGGTGCCTTGGGATGCCTTTTTGCTTCCCAAATTCTACTCTCTTTTTTCAAATGGCCCATTCTGCAGCTCTTGATTTGTT